CAGGACAGCCCTGGCCGTTACCGGAGCTAAGGGGAGAGCGGAGGGGAAGCGTGCGGACACCCGCCGGGCGCGGCCCAACTCACACGAGTTCCCCCTGAGCCTCCCTCAGCACTGCTCGGCCCCTGCAGCTGTCCTGGCTCCAACACCTCCACCGCAGCTGTTAGAGAAGGTGGTTTGATGGCAGCTACGGGGCGAGCCTTGCCCTGAACTCCTCGGGTTCCGGGGCATCTCGCTAGCAAATGTTATACCCTCATTAGGTGAGCTGTTGGATGTGCTTTGCATTAAATGAGGTAGTTTTCTTTTTCCTGTTCTGCCTTTTATCTCAACAACTTTTCCTTTAGTTATCCGTGTGCTGCAGACCTTCTGTATCTGAACAGATACCGGTGACAGTCGTTGGTCTGGAGTGGAGATCCTGCTGGCATAGGGAATAGTGTTTTGCTTTAATCATGGAAGTGTCCCTGGATCCCGGAAAAACATAACTTTGTCAGCCGTACACGGGTTAGGGTTTCAAGTGATGAGTTTTATATCTTTTATTGTGACGTTTGTGTTGCTCCCATTCGGTCTGAAAATAAAACTGCTCTGTGGCTTGAGTAAAGGTGATGGCTGTAGGAAGATGCTGCTATATTTTGGCTGGTGGGTTCTTTATTGAGATAATTTTCGATTTAAGAATGGGGTGTTACTTGAAAGCATTGGCAAATGTAAGTCCAAGCTGATGGGTGAGAGGAGAAAGACTCAGATTAGTATTCTAGAAATGCTGCGGATCGTAGTACTATGCTTAACTGTCCAAGTAGTTCCTAGTTTTGCAGTATTATGTGGAAATGATCCACCCTCTGAAAAGGCGATAAATGAGGACTGTACTGTTTGAATGTCCCTTTCTGGCGAGGAGTATTGGTGGTTCACTGAAACTGGCTCTTGTGTGGGTAGGTGGAGAAAGGGGCACAGAGCTCGGCATCTTCCCGCTCGGCTCCTCGCTTCCACTGCCCTTTGGGGTGGCATTCCCCAGCATCCTTTCCAAGGAATGCTTTGTCTTCTCTGGACTACGAGTGTCCCCCAGGAGCTGGAGCTTCTGCGGGCAGAGCCAGCGCAAGGGGCAGCGTTCACACCTTGTTCCTGGGTGTTTGCAGGGCTGTAGGTAAACTGCGTCTGTACACTCCTAGCGCAGTCACCGTGAGCCAGCGGCACTGCTTAGAGGCCCATTTGGGCTTGAGGCTTGGGGTTGTGAGGTCTTCTTTAACCCTTCCAACTCCTAACGTTCTGTGATTCTGTGATTTCAGTGTGCTATTTTACACCTC